AAATCATTTCAAAATTGTATTATATATATCTCTGATAAAATTAACAATCTTACAAATTAATTATCTTCCTTATCAATGGTAGGTAAAAAAGATAGACAGTAGCGAGTGTTAGTATAACGTGGGAAATAGTGACATCTATCTGATTATTGCAGCGTAGAGAATTGTTTTTACGTCAAGTTTTTAAACAGCTGAACGGAACTAATTCCTAAGTATACTATCGTTTGTATGAAAAAAAGGATCTCTCTATAATCACTATGTTTAGCATATGAGGCGAGAATAAAGCACAAACGATGACGTTATCGAACTGTCGTAAAAGAAACAGAGATTGCTTGTTTACCTTCACTTCCCGCATTTAAAATGAAATAAGCATGTATTTTTGGATTTTTGCAAGAAAGAGGACAGAAAACATAAATCGACACGAAATAAACCTAGAGATGGATTGATGGATGAAGATCTTGGTTTTTCTGAAGTTCCAAAAATTTTTATAATTTTAATATTTCCAGTTTTACAATATATATGTACTATAGTATATATGATACACAATAAGTTATAACACAATAAATTAAATTTCAACATTTTTCACATAAATCAAATATTTTTACTTTATTTTTAAACCGGTTCAGTAGAAATTATTATATGTTACGAGGAAATAATTTTTCATCTTACTTGATATTACGTAATAGTTATTTTGACTTTGACCTTATGATTACTAATTATTAACGAAGTTCTAATTCCGACTGTGAAATAGATGCAATAGATTGTTGTTTTTTTTTTTATCGATGACTTCTATGTACAATTCTGTGTATTTTGGATAATGTTATCATCTTATTGTAATTGAGCTTCTGGAGTGAGATTCACTTAAAAAAAAAAAGAAATAAAATTTCTTTCCCTTGGAGTGAATCTGCCACTTTTATTATTCAAGAGTCCAAATATTTTTATTCTTTTAGAGCAAGATTTCGCTCCATGAAATTTAGAGAATATATAAACTGATTTCTTTCTTCAATTTTTATTTTTACGCATACAAAAACAAATAAGCAAAACGAATCACAGAAAACGCAAGACAATAACGTAAGCAAATATCGATTTGTTTACTGTTTACATTTTATTGCTTATGGAAATTTATATATGGAAGCCTGAACGCTCTCCTATAAGCGATTAAATTGCACTTAAACTTTTCTCGATTGTATTTACAATATTCTAAAGCTAAATAAAGTGGAGAACTTTAAAAATTTCTGATCGCAATCTCTTTTCGGCCTTTTTTTCGAACGGGATTTAATTTCGACGAGATATATTATCTTGTGCTGATGACAAGTGCGATTCGGCGCACCCTCAACGGGATTTCCCGTTGCACGCGACGCAAAAACTTCTCGTTCTAACTTTCTCCTGCTAACAGTTTAACCCGTCGCCGATCGCTATTTTTGGCGCAGCGTACGTGCTTCTGCCGTGCCAAGTTCGCGCGCAAGTTCGCGGAACGTTCCGCTCGTTCTCCGCCGCGACACGGATCTATCGTCGCGACGACAGATTCGCGATCGCAAAACTTTATCCGATATCATGAAACTCCGTCATCTGATCTGCATCCTATGTAAGATAAATATAATGTTAAACTTAAAGATATAAAAGAAAGATACCTGGCGATATTTTTTAAATGCACACAAACGTAATACGTTAATTAATTATTTTAAATAATTTAATTAATTTTAATTAATTGGTTCCCATTGCGTTAATAATAATCGATGAGGAGTTGAATTGTATTCGATAAATTATTGACACTTTGAAGAGGATAGTGACAACCTGTGAAATGTATTTTTTTTTCTAGGAACTGAAATTATATTCTGGTTCTTTCGGATTAAACTGAAGCATGCAAAAAAAGAGAACATTTTATTTCTTCATTCATTTGCAATTGTAATTTTTATATCGATTTGTACCAACATCTTTTTATAGCGATAATGTTACAACATGCGAGAAATATCAACAATTTGTAATAATTACTCTGTAGGCAAAAATTTCTCCTGGAATTCTTTATACAATTTTTCAGAAACATTCATGATTTAATATACGAAAAATTCTTAAGAATATTATATCATGAATTAATACAAGAATTTTCTTCATCAGAATAAGAATGTTTTCTTTCCTAGCCGCATGTTTGACACGGGGAATTCCCAGATGATAGCTAAAATCATATGCGTCAAATGCAAACAATTCGTAGGAATTTGGCAGTGAACGTGACAACAGCTGCGTATGATGGCGGATGTTGTTTCTAGCAGGTCATTGGTACTACCCATGGTCGAGAATCTCCTTAAGTTGTGCGTAAATCCGCACAAAAAAAAGTTCACCGTAATAGAGCAAGAATTAGCGACAGCATGGCATCGATAGCGTGCATTTAAATTTGCCTGTTTTTAAATTTACTTCCCTCGATCGTTAAGAAAAAATGTCTCATATTGTATATTTGTAATCAACTGAAGAAACAAACAAGCGTGTGATGTTCAGCCACATACACACAAAAATATCATCTAGTTACTAGTGATTGCTCAATTTATTTTGTTCCTTTTAAATAACAGTTATTTTTTAACAAAGAATTTTCTTGGTAGTAGTCTTAAAATATATTTATTATAAATTTTAAAAAAACTCAATGATATGTACAAACAGAATTTATTTTCTTTGAAGAATATTATAAAATTTATAAAAGAAACGATTTTATGTAAGCAAATCGAATTTGTTTTAATTTAATAATCTTTTGAAATTGAAGTATATTAACTTATTAGAATTCAGAATATATTTTGAATAAATTTGATACTTATAGTGAACATATATGATAGATTTGCGGATATATGAACCTTCAAAATATTTGAAACAAGTACTTATTATTTGCGTGCAATATTTTTTGTATGCATAGAAAAATAAAAAAAATATATAAAATAAAGAATACAATAACAGCGATAATTGACGAATATATATAATAATGGAAAAAATATATGTGATACAAAAACTGTTGCAAAAATTTGACAATTACTGCGTAATATTTTAAACAGCATTTTAAATAAATAATTTGAAATTATCTATTCTGACTCAATTACAGAACTATTACGCCACTTTTGATCCAAGGGGAAAGAATGAAACTGTCATAAGATAGAGCAGGCTTTGTATTTTCACTGATCAATCTCTTAAAATAGTCACACACTTTCATCATATATGTATATAATTTTATCAGACGCGCATCTCTCTTTCTCTCTCTCCCACTCATACTCTCTCATCCTCTCTCATCTTTCGTATCAGAAAAAATACAAAATTTCCGGCTGGAAAATAGTGTCATCAATACAGATACGCGAACAAAAAACGTCGTAGATACAAGATAGAGAAGGTGAAGATAAACAAAGTATCACACCATGAATGAGAAACCGAAAAAATAATGCGTTGCTCTTGTCGTCCCTCGTTTCGCGATTTCCTATAAAAGAAATAAAATAAGATGGCACAGAAGATAAACTTCCTTGAAAAACTTCGAAATCTCTGTATATGGTTCTTCGAATACACTCAAGGTTCAGATCTCGGTTCAAACGGACTTTTCTCGCGCATCTGAAACGCTTTGAGAATTCTAAACGGACGCTAAATTTGGAGCGCTGTATACAGGGCGTCCCGCAACAAACGGTGTGGATTCTTTAAGAAATGCGAAACTGATTTTTTCTTAACAAAAACGTGGGCTATTTTTTTTCATCACTTCATAAATTCCATAAATAAAGATGTATATAAATTATACAATCTCTATATGCAGAACTCATTAGAAGAGCATAACATTTTACAAGGCTTATTATTTACAGCTAAACTAGACACACATTATATGTATATACTGTGAAAAACATTTTATATCTGTGATAGAAATTTCAAGTTTTTGTTAAAATTTTATGTTGAATTTTTATTATATTATTGAATATTATAAAAATTGTTAAATATTTTAGTATTATATTGATATTCAATACTTCTCAGTACCTAAATAATACAATTTATGAGTAAGTGAACAGATGACATAAAGATATGATGTTTTTAAATGTAAATTCTAAGATAAATAAATAAAATATATGTTATCATATTATAAATGTTAATTTTATTTTAAAAAAATATGCTTCCACGGTTTGTTTACAAATTACGTCAGTGTTATATTTTTTGTGTTAATTTTTTATATAATATTTGTGTTACTTTTTAATATTCCATCTTGTGTAAAAATTGACACATAAGTTTGAGAAACATGAAATGTATTAAATTTAACACAAATTTTTTTAATCTATTTAAAAATAAAATAGATATTTAAAATTTGATAGAAGATAAAAATTTAGTATAAAGTGCAGCAGTAAAAAAGTAGGCCTCTTATTTCAGTTTATCTTAGGTCAGTTATGATTTAATTTTAGAATGTCTCTTTCTTATTTATATTAAAAAGAGAAAGCAAACGGTTAAAATTTCTTTTTCTTTTCAAATTGAGTACAGCACTAAAGTCAAAGTGCGCAAAGAAAGAATTTTTGAGTTTGGTTAGAGCAAAAAAAAAGAAACTAATTGGGTTGATGCATCTTGAGACAATAAATCAATGAACACAAGTAGCATTTTTTTTAATTTCTTATTTAAACATCTGTTTTTTTTTTAATTTAGAGACATATTTGAATTTTGATTTTATAATCTATTCTATATTATATGGAATCCTGAATGCACAGAAATTTTACAAAAAATACGTTTTAACCAGAGTTACAAAAATATTTGGCTAATTTTCAAAAAATCAATCGTGTAATCTGTATATACATTCACTTATGATGCAAAATCTGTACTTTGGCAACTTTTAAATGTCTGTTAAAAGAGGATTCTAATTTGCATTAAATTATGCACGCATAAATTAATTTACGTCGCGAAACACATCCTAATGATAAATCTAGGAAGATAGGAAGAAACGAGGGACGGCGCATGCATCGGTATTCTCGACAAATATTCATGACTCTAAAGTTTGTATGTGCACATGCTTCTTACACACATCCGTGCCACTTTATATCGGCAGATACGCGCGATATGCAGAAAATTATTAACGTCAACAACAAACACACTTGTGAACACGAAATCATCTCTCGGGCAGACATACAATAAATTAGAATCAATGTTAACTTATCGTCATCACTGCCGTCACGTGCACGTGATGCTATACCGAGTATAACGTCGTTAACTTTCCAAACAGACCAATTTTCCTGTATCGCGTCGTAAAGAGCCAAAAATAAAAAAAAAACCGAAATTTTGACTCGAATAGCAAACTGTGATGTGCAAACTTTATACAAAAGATTCGTATATTATTTTATAAAATACAAATATAATCTTTTTCTGCGATCACAACTAGAAAAAATTACGTATATCCTTTACGTATAATCAATAATTTGCTTGATGAATAATTCCTGTAGCACGGCATTTACGTGGCAAATTGGTCTGCTCGACAGGTGAATATATAACGAAACTATATACTTGGCCTTCTATAGGATGGATGTCCTCGAAATTACGCGCCCGGACTCGCAACGAGACTTGAATCTTATCCCTGCGATTTCGAATCCATCTCATACAAGTCAGATGCGGTCTCTATTTACCTCACAATCATCCACGAGCTCGCAAATTATAAATAAATTAGAAGAAAGGTGAGGATTAATAATATCATCGACAGAGAGAAAAATTCGCTCGCTGCGCGTATTCCTACAAAGATTCTTTCTCTGGAACACGCGGATGTGTAAGAGCTTCAAATCGAAGGTCAAGGAAGTCAACGAACTTGGGGGGGGGGGGTGCCGCTTCGGTTCGCTCGTGATTATTCTATAAAAGAGGAAGGCCTCGTCCTAAGGCAATGACGAGTGACTGAAGGATTCGTTGCTCGGCTCAAACGCGATTAGCTTGATTCTAGTTCGAAACTCAGAAAAAGTAAGAAAAGGCAGCAGCGTTCAGCGTCTTAATACAAATCAAACCATTTCGCGATTTCTACGACAATTCGATATCCTCCAAAACTCTTTTATTTCTATTTTTTTCATCATTCGGCGTTCCATTGTGACTCAAGGAACTTCATTTCTAGTCGATTCTCGTTCCTTTGTGTCACGAAACTCTCTCTCTCTCTCTCTCTCTCTCTCTCTCTCTCTCTCGTTCGCCAATTCTGGTCGAGTCGTGTCCACGTTGGGATCCACGTTCGACTATACGACACTTCCTCAACATTCTGTTTTTACTTCGCGCTCTCCGTCGGTGGTGGTGGCAGCGGGATTGCTTGCTCGGACACCGGTTGCTGTTGTTGCTCTTTCTTCTTCGTCTTCTTTGCCTTCTTCTGTAGCTTTGGTGATTCTATCGAACTCCGCTGGCCATCGTTCACTTCCGTTTTTTCCTCCGTCGTTTCCTTCGTCTGCTGATTTGATGTCGCATGTTTATTTTCCATTGTTCGTAACACGTCTTTTTGCTGTTCTTCATTTTTTCCATCACTCGGTTTTGATTCCTTGCTTGTTTCGACCGTGCATTTTGTTGATTCGTCTGTCGATGCGACAGGCTGTTCCGCTATAACTGGATTCTCTATTTTCTGTTTGGTAATCTGCTGTCCAGTAGGAATAACGTTTTGATTTGCTGATTCGACAGCTGTTGCCGCACTTTCACTTTCCGAGGATTCCACTTTCGTCTGCAAAACCGAAATAAAATGCCAAAAAATAAGATAATTCGTACAAATATTGCAATCGTAAAATAATTTGTCTTAAACAAAAAAAGATAAATAAAAGATAAAATATAATTTGGAGAATAAAAGAAATTGTTAAACTAAAAAAATTTTCTGTACAGTTGATAAATATCCTGCATTTTAACGTCACTTCACTCGCGATTTCTCACCTTCGTCGGCGACGACGGCACCGGCGGAAGCGGTATCGGCTCGCTACTAAGCTTCTCTTGCTTCGCGTCTACCTCCATCGGCTCAGGAACGTGCGAGATTTCTTCTCCCCGCTGATCTTTCTCAGAACATTTCTGAGCCATTTTATATACGGTGAGTTGTTGCTGGTTGGCAATTGGTGTTTTTGTTTCCAGCAAGCTAATGGTATCCTGAATGCTCTTGATGGCGTTCTTACGCGCCTGCCGCACGTTCTCCCGACCTTCCGTCTCTATGTCATCCAGCTTGATTAATTCGCGCGTCAACATCTCGTCCAGATACATATATTCCTTATCTTGCCGAGAGCCACCAACGTAACGTTGTACCTGCTCGGCTAGATCGTCTACGTCCTTTTGTACCTGGGCGACTCTCTCCAAGGGATCCTTTGGCACCGGAGGCTTTGGTTTGGGAGTTTCTTGTTGCTGCTGCTGTTGCTGTTCCTGATCAGGCTGAGGTTGAGGTTGCTGAGTCTGCTGTTGCTGATGGTGTTGCTCATAATGATGCTGAGGTTGCTGCTGCTGCTGCTGATGATACTGAGGCTGTTGCTGCTGTTGAGGCTGTTGCTGCTGTTGAGGCTGTTGATAATAATATTGCGGTTGCTGATGTTGTGACTGAAATTGCCGCCGCATTGGCTGTTCAAATCCTGACGGTTTATAAAACGCATCCTGAAAATGCGACGGTGGCCACTGCTGCCGACTGAAGCGTTCGTTAAAGTGCGAGGGTCTGTGGAAATGATGCGCTGGCGGTGACGATCTGTCGAAGTGGTGAGACGGCGGCGATGATTGTCGTTGCTGGAAGGTGGACGGCGGCGCGTCGTCTGTCGCGACTTTTGGCATCACCGGCACGTCGCGACCCTCCACGAAGATGGGGATATGTCGGACATTGCTGGCTGGTTTACTAGGTGACTGCGCACGTTGCTGATTGTGCTGCGGCGTGATATCTACTCGGGACACGAATCTCTGACCTTGACCAGGTTGCGGTGGTAATTGCTGTTCTTGACCTGGCTGTTGCTGTTGCCAATTTTCCGTCGGTGGTGCCGACATCGAGCGCTGACCGCGCTCATCCTTCTCCGGACTACTCTCCATGTCGCGACGTCGCTGTTGCTGGCCTATGTCCACTGTGTTACGTAGACCGTACTGCGGTATCGCGGATGATGACGTCGAGTCGTGCTCGCCACCGCCGCCGCTATGCGAGCTGACGGCACTCGCACCACTCGCGGCACTGCTACCACTTGCCTGACTACGCGCGTCCTCGTCCTGATGCTGCTGACCTTGTTGCTGCTGGTCGTCGTTGTTGCTACTACCGGAGCCGCGGCGTTGACGGCGACGGTCGCGCAGCAGGGAACCGCTGAACGGCCAAGGCGGACCGCGCAGGTGCTCGGCGAACTCGGGGTGGCGCGCCGCAAGGTCGTCCAGGTGCGCGCGGATGCCGTCGCTGCGCGGACGATCAAAAACGTCGGCGTCGTCGTCAAAAGGGAACCCCTACGGAGACAGACAAAAATTTGATGAAACCCATGTTCAATAGATGTTGTTGAAATGAAGAATTATTCATACATTAAAAAGATGAATCTTAATCGCATTGTTACCTAAAACTGGTTTGACATATGCAAGAAATGAAACTTAATGTTAAAAAAACAGTTTACGAAATATTGAATATCTTTCAATCATGACGAACGAATATTTAAATACAAGGTAAATGTTCAAGAAAATGTTTAATCTGGAAGGAAGGTTTTTGTTTACTCATCATTATTATCTCAGATTATAAAGGAAAAAAAATACAAAAAATTCTTATCAATTATATTTGAATACAAATATTTTTCAATAAATTACGATCATAATCACAATATTTGCAATCGATAGAATAGAGATATTTTATATAAAATATATAAAAAATTATCTTCTTATTTCAAGAAATTAAATCATGATTTCTGTATATTTTTAATTTGATAGTTTGTCATAGCTGTAAATACAGCTCATTTTGATTTTGGTTATCATAACTTTGGGTAACGTAATTCATTTCTAAATATGGTTATCAATCAACGAAACAAAAGGAGAGTTTTCAGTATATTTCAGTATATTTCAATTATGATGCACTGTTATTGACTAAAATAGGACCAACCAACCGTTACGCTGTAAGTAATCGAATCGGCCAATTACAGTAGAGATGTAAAGCAATAACTTTCGTCTCTAGCCTTCAAAGACAGATAATAAGGATAACCAAATTCGGTGTATTCCCTAATAAACTTATGCCAAGTTCATATTCCCTAATAAATTAAGGGCGACTTCGATCAAATTCCAATTAATTTATGAAGCAATATTATTTTGCTAAGGTAGGTACAATAATTATTTTTTTATTATTTAATATACAGAAAGAAATATTAAATAAAGTACGATTAGTTATGTAGGATGGTCCATAAATGTTCTGAAAGATTTTAAGGGATAACTTCTCAGATTTATTTAAAGCCCGATTGCACCAACGTTAGTACGACTTTAAGCGAAGCTTAATATTATTTCTTTATTTTTTTAAAGCCGATAAAGAGACAGAAAAGGAGAGAATTTTAAGCTTCACTTAAAATTAAAGTAACATTGGTTATTAATTAGACCTAACACTAAAAAAATATCAAAAACTATTCGAAGTCATTTCGATGAAATTTTGTGTTCTCGAGTGGTTTTCGAATTTTTGGAAAAAAAAAACGAAATTTGCCCTTCAATTTTGGTATCCTGTATTTTGAAACTGAGTCATTTCAAACACATAGTCATATAAAGTTTTTATAATGAATTATCATGTAAAGGAATCTCCTTCTTAAAATCTTTTAGAATACTTAAGAATCGCCCTGTATAGCTAGAAATTTTGCAATAGTTGAGTTGATTGTTGACCAAGTTAATTGAAGTATTTCTTCGAAGTCACCCTAACGGCAACAGCTGTGCGTGACATTCAGTCTCGACTTCGATCCGAACGCGAGCAAGGGCGCTGAAGGGGAAATTCGCGTAATCGGGCACGAGGTGACGAATCCTCCTTCTCTTCCCTCTCCTCCTCCTTCTCTTCCCTCTCCTCCTCCTTCTCTTCCTGCGGCGAATCGAGGTCGCCTCGTCGTTCCACTTAGCGCAACCGGCGGACGTTGTAAGAAAACCATACACGGGACGCATATGAGAGAAAGACAGAGAAAATAAGAGAAAAATGGCAGTAGAGAGAGAGAGAGAGAGAGAATCGGAAGAACCTCTTATATATGCGCACCTACACCCAACAATCAGATTTTCCTATTTTCGGCCTGGCTGGCCATGGCCAACACACCGCCACCGCATTAAATTTTCGCCTGTCAACCGTGAAAATGACCCGCAACAGGATAACATCGCGCGTTCGGGTACTTATATTATTTTTTTTAATACTAAATTTAGAGGGCCTTCAATCCAAATATCCATTTTTGACGCACTTAATCCTGCATCGCTTGCTATTATCGCGGACGACTGAATGTCGAGATGCCTTGACTGTCTCTTCCAGTCGAATTTATTTTAACACGCACTAAAAAACGGTTTTGCTGAACATTTAGCTAGATATAGATAGACAAATAGACTAAAAAAAATTATTTTGGATCAAAATATACATTATGTGGGACTTTCAAAATATAAGGAAAGAATAGTTTTGAACTAAAATATCTAAAAATTTAGCTAGATCTAAAAGTTATCATAAATCATTGTCATAAATTACTCATCCTAAAATTTCATAATTTTCCTTTGAGTTTCCAGACAAAATTTCATAATTTTCTCTGATGCTTTTAATAATATTATAAAATTTTTTGTATTTTCGCGTTCTGATTTGGAAACCGTTAAATATTTTGTTGAGAGACAAACATGCAATGTAAATTACTATTAATGTTGCTGACATTACTTATACTTATTTAAAGCCAAGAATTTTTATCTTTCAGAAAATTTTGCAAAATTTCCTGACTTTTCCTTGATTTCCCTGATTTTCAGTTTTGTATAATAATAATCTTAATAATTTGTTTGATCAATCAAAATAATTATATATAAGTCACAAATAGGTTGTTAGAATGTTAAAACTTCTTGCAGTATTGTCATAAACGCTTGAGCATAATTCTACATAATTATTCTTCTACATAATTATTTTGATAGCTTAACAAAATTATTTTCAGATTTGTATACAGCTAAATTTTTAGATACTACAGTAAAACTGTTCTGTCCATGCAATCTTGAAGAAGGAAATTCGTTTTCCCATCTTCCTTCTTTTCCTCTTCGCTTTTACAGGTTTCTTTTATTTTCATCGGGTGATATCATACGGGGGAAACGATCGCTCGGTCTCGTTTCTTTTCGGTTCTCGGTCTCCGTCTTCGTTGGAGCACGCGCAAATACGCCCACGCGTGCACGCGAATCATCCATCGCGTTCCAGAACGCTGAGAGAGAAACGTCATTAGAACATGTAAGAAAGAGTCAATTATATGAGGTAATTCCTCTTTCCTTCCCTCTCCTTCGCTGCACATATTGGCAATCTCGCCTAATCATATGATCGATATTGAGCGAAGGAAGGTATCTGATAACGTGACCGGTATGACGTCACGCCGCGCCTTTTGACGTCGTGCCGTTAAGCCTGTATCAGACTATGTATCAGAGACCGAGGTTTGCGAACTGGAGATTAAGAACCACAAATTGAAGATTGTACGCAAGGAATAATTTTGCTAAAATATTTGATAATTAAGCTAGATACGAGAAAATAATTTTGTTTGAACCAAAATACGAGTAATTACGTAGAACATTCAAGCTACACTAAAAAGAATTTTCTAAATTTTAATACATATTTCTTTGAATACTGCTAAATAAGTAAGTAAATATTTACTTATAATAGATAAATATTGACTCAATAAAAAATGATAATTGAATCAAATTAATAATTTTTATACTAAATAAATATATGTTTACATTTAGTAAGTATTTACTTAGAACTATTCAAAAATATTTATTAAAATTTAATTTTTTTTAGAATAAAATATTAAGATTATATTTTGCAATATTTTCATCAACGTTTAAGAGTTCTACAAATTTATTTTGATGATTCACACACACACACACACAACACAGCAAAATTATTTTTTGTATCTGACTAAATTTTTCAATACTTCAGCAAAACCGTTCTTTCCGTGTAGGATTCGACCAATCAGGACATAGCGAGCTAAAATTACATCCGATTGGCCGAACTAATTGCGATCCTTAATCTCCAATGAATGGTCTGATATGGGCTTTACTGATATCGACCACAATAATATACCAACGGTCTTTCGAGACTAAATAGGTTTCGTGACATCATGACTACTGCGTTTGGCGGTCACGCATCGCGATCATTCACGATAATTCGATACATTGATACGAATGTCGGTTTCTTTTTTCATCAAATTTGTTTCGAGAATTCGTATATCATAAATCATTTTATATCATCGAAATATCAATTAACGATTCAGATAAACTTCTTTTGCGACCATTACAATACTCGAAAGTTCTTAACGAATATCGTGATGCGACGATAATATCTCAATTTTTGTATTTTCTCCCTCTTTTTTTCGTGAACGACGCGTTCCGTCGCGACGCTTTCGAATGCGACGCGAAAAATACGGCGCGAATGCTATTTCTGATTTCCACGCGATCTCGAAACGCGGAATGTGAGAAGCAGCGGCGGATGAAGAGGGAGAGGGAGGGCTATATATCGGCAGTGAAGAGAACGTGCGGAACGTATGGAAATATCTCGTGTGCGTCGATGATTCCATTAAGATCTGGATCGTGTCTTCTTGGAAGCGTGGAACCAGAAGAAGAGGAAGAGAACCACTACCATGAGCCTATCACGTTTGCTTATATCATTCCATACAGCACAGAATTTGCAGCAATATGACTGCAAAATCTCTACAATACTGTTACAACATACAGTGTTGCTGTAACTTTTGTGCAACTTTGTGCTGTAGGGGATTTGCAATTTTTAAGATCAAGGGCTGAAGCACCGACTTTTACATAACGCATAATGCATAGAATATAAGAAAATCAACCAATCAAAGTTTTTTGATTGGTTGAAAACTTCGTGAAAAATTTCGTGAAAAAGAAAGAAATGAAGGACTTTGATTGTTTCATTTTCTTATGTTTCGTGTTAGATAAGACTCTGCTTTAATCCTAATAGGCTTTCTACAATAAGCCATTATTTAAGCTTTAAGCCATAAGAAATTCATCGATCATAGTCAAATATGAGAAGAATAATTGACTATAACTGGTCGATTTCTTAAGATTTAAAGATTAGGTAATGATTTATTGTAGAAAGCCCATTAGAGTCAGTTGTTTCACCTTCGTATGAACTATGTGATAATTTATCTAATGGGCAAAAAAAAGAGCGAAAGAGAGAGAGAGAACAAGAGAGGGAGAAAGAGAGAGTAAGCTGAAACTTATCGAAAAGTGGAACAACTCAGCCTAAAGTCCGCATCACACTATAGATTGACGATTACGATTGGCGGTTGCCCGGTCCTATTTCAGCCAATCACGATGGATTCGCTGCATCGTGATTGGCTAAAATAGGACTGAATAACTATCAATCGTCAATCCACATAAAGCCGTGATCAAACTAGAGATTAGACTGAAATTTAACTAATTACAAGAAAAAAAAAACCAATCTCAAGTTTCGTAAACTTTGCTTTGATTGATTATATTTCAATCTCAATCTCTAGTCTAATTACGACTTCAGGCTAATATTTCATTTGTTGTGCAACACATTTTTCAAGCATGTTGATTGGTTATAGAATAGAAAATTTCCAGAGAACTTTTCTGTTCTGTAGCCAATCAACATATTTAAGACATTTATCGTATAAATGAAATATTAGCCTTAAGCGGTGAAGGAATTACAGCAGCAGTGCATAATAATTCATAACGCGCAATATTTGCTCGCAAAAACGTCGATCCGAGATGTAATCGTGTACGAACGGAATGTTCCTAATAGGAAGGAACCTGAACTTCAAACTTAGAGAAGCTCGCGGAGCAACCGAACTTTCTCGGAGTGCGGAACTGCGCGCAGAGAAGTCCTACATCTCGCGAGAAAAAAAATAACGCCAAAAAAAAGGAAAAAGAAAAAACAGAGAGGTGGATAACGTCACTTACGGGGAACGAGCAGCGGTCCAGATCGATCTCTCGTCCCAATTTGGATGCTGCGTCCACGATGACAGGCGAGTCCATTTTCTGGACCTGTTCGAGCCCGCGCGTCCGTTTTTGGATACCCGACACGCACTCTCTCTCGCTTGCACCAGCAAGTAATTTCTTTCCTTCCTTCTTTCTTTTTCCTCTTTCTTTCCCTCTTTCCTTTTCCGGAATATATCACGCACAAAATCTTTTTTTAGCGGCTCTCGAAGGCGTAAAGACGTCGAGAAAAGATTTGCCGCGAGATTTTTCTCGAAATCATCACCTCCTTGCGTTCTCTCTCTCTCTCTCTCTCTCTCTCTCTCTCTCTCTCGCTCGCTCGCTCGCTCTCACACGTTCCCAATATATCTCTCTCACTCCGCTCGCTCGCTCGCAATAGCTGACACTCACACGTCGTGCTTCTCTCTCGGCTTTTCCTCGTCTCTTCCACTGCCTCCACCGCGATTACATAAGCGACGTTTGCTATACACTCGGGATACGTCTTTTTCTCACTCGCTTCGTCGGCTGTACTTTTTCAAGGCCGTTCTCCTCGAATAGTGCAAAAGAGATAAAAAAAAAAAGAAAAAAACGTGCGCACGTGCGTTTCACCGTAATCACGCGCGTAATCCACCACAAATGCAGTTAACAACGAGACTGACAGCGCGCGGGCCGCGGGAGCACTTAAATGCGCGGTTACGTGTGGGTTGTGCGTGACCACGTGACCACCGGCGGCGGCTATGACGAGCGCAAGCGGAGGCGACCGACGGCGACCGAGCAAGCGCGAGAACTCGCTAGAAGCTTCTCGCGCCTAACTTCTCGACGCTTCTCGCACGATCGAGAAAACGCGGAGCGAACACGGAAGCGCTGAATGTTACGTCATTGGATTATCTCATTCCGTTCTGTTCGATTTGCTTTCAAAACATTGGGAGAGAAATTATTATAGTATTACTTCCTTTTTCTATGTGCAAATTGAGGTAAAGAAAAGATACTTCAAATCTAAAAATAGAAACAAAAGAAGATAGAAATGCGAGCCGGCGACGAGTCCACTCGCAGAGACTCCATTCGTTTCGGTCGCTCTTTGTGTGACTCTACTCCTCTTCTCACCGAAGCGTGAAGTTTGTAGACTATAACGCATTTCAAATTGTACATAAATTAGGGTTTGGAATTCAACCAATCAGAACGAAACGTATTAAAATAAAAATTATCTGATTGCTTGAGCTCCAATCTTCAATATGTAGTCTGATATATGCTTGCACAATCGCTTGTTTGTTATAACAATGACATAATACAAAAATTTTTCGTTGCTTGCAGACACAGAACGGAAACTTAAAAAAAGACAACGTACTTTAAAAGAACATACTTTGGTTCCTCTACAATCTTTTATATTATCCCAAAATTACATTTTATAATTAATATCACAAAATTATAATAATTCGAAATATTAAAATTCATTTTCTGAAAAACTTGATTTTTTTAGTTGTGTGATAAATTAGCAAATATTTTGATCTGAAATGTACAAAAATGCACACGAATTAATAACGTGCTAAGAGGTAGACGGATAGATGAGGAAGAACGAATGCGTTTTGATCAATTGAGAGAGAAGAAGAGAGATATGACCTATATTTTTAGGCATGAGCGGAAGAATCTGCACTGGGTTGCATGCCTGACCGATCGCGAAAAGCATGGCACTCGGAGAGGTAACTTGTGCCTAAAACTTCCCCTTATAGAAACTAATAATTTATAAGCGAACTTGTAAATGACAAATAAGATCATATTAATATTCTTATGATA